ATTGTTTTAAATTAATTTGACAGGTCAAGGGGGAAAGTGTCAAAAATACAGCAAGGGCAAAAATATTCCTGTTTACAGTATTAAAAGCACCCCTTAAAAAAATTATTATATTACAGTATACCCAGTAATGTAAAAATTGCATCTGCTGCAAATTAGGAAAATAGTTTGTTAATTTAATAACGCGAATGAAAAATATTTGTAAATATTTCATGTTAAGCATTAATACAGCAGCAGCATGTATCAAATAATTAAAACTTTCAATATTTGGCGCAAAAAATATTATTGTAATTGGCAATGAATTGTAAAAACAATTTTAAGCAGACATGTGAATATTTACGATTTAAAACACCACAGACAAACAGATTGATCAACATTGACTAACATGTAGCTTTACAAATCTATACCTACATGTACTTCTAGCCTCCACATATACATACATGCACATTGCCTTCAAATGTCTATTTTTACCTATACTTAGCCTTATATATACCGGATCTATATATAGACTTCAAATACCTATATATATATAGTATAATATACCTATACATAGCCTTCAAATATCTATTTAAACATTTACATAGCCTCAAATATCTAAACGTGGCCTCCAAATCTATAAAATTACCAAGGTAACAGTGGGTGTAGATTCAAACAACTATACGTATTACAGGTAATTTTTCATTCACAGAACTGACTCAAGTCTTCATTACGTGAGAATTTTAAATTGTAGTAAATATGGCACAAATATTGAGCAATGGAAAACTGTAACTGACAAATATATTGGAACATTTCGAAATTCTGGCATAAGTGTTCAACGATTATTTCTCGACTCCAAAGTCACGTTTTACAAGAAAGTACCTCCCATTATCATTTAATTGGTATTTATTCTGGGAAAGTTATGGTTTGTAACTGTGAAATTAATCACTTTATTCTCTTATGTACTTTAATCTGAGAATTAGGTCTGTATGTTTTATTTACAAAAACTTCAATTAAATTTAACAAATGATAACAAGTATTGATGAAATTCATATTTTTGAAAGATTGAAATATGCAAATGAGTCTCCTGGTGAATTAAAGCAGAGAAGTCTATCACTTGTGAAAATAAAGGGACTTATATTACTTAATATGGGTGTATTTCAAAGCCCAACAAATGTATATATCATAAATATTGCAAGATTTATTAATTTTGAGTGGATCAATGAAGATTTGTTTTCATTCTTCAACAATTATATTTAGCGCATGATCTTATATGTACATTTTTTTTATTTGAGTATAAATGTCTTAATAGAATTACCTCCCTTGTTGTATATAACTCCAAAGACACATTTTTTCTCTCAGAAAATCTTATATTATGCTCTGGAATCTGTATATCTGTATAAATGTTCCACAAAATGTTATGTATTTTGTAAAATTCTTGGTCATTATTTTTTAAATCATTAAAAACACAATTCATTAAGAAATCCGTAACAAATGCAGCAGTTTGAATTAGTTGTTCCCCCACAATCTGCTAAATAAATAATATACCCCTTATCCTACTTGTAAAGGCACCTACAAATAATCCAACAAACCAATTATGTACTCATATATAAAGTTTTCATATAGAAATTTTCATGTAGAATTTGCATTGATACTGAATTTCATCATAATTATAAAATTTTCATATGTCAAAAATTGAAAATGTTATGGACTTTTAAAATGATCAACCTGATCTAACAACATAATACAACAATTTAATTTCCATTCAATCAGAGAGAAAACACTGATGTTCAAATTTAGTCTAATGTGTTATTTAGATAACGGACTGTATTGATGCATCCATATTTTGAATCTAAAATATCTTATTTAATTCTTGAATTCAAACATACTATGTTATGTAAGACATACTATATGTCTGAGAATTCAACGTGATTGCCACCAGAGGAAAAACAAGCATCTTTTTTCATATCAGGTTTAAAAACAATTTACTGAAATGTTTTAAAATCACTCTTTCCTGAAGCTTTTTGTCATATTGATACAACTTTGTCCTCAGATAAATACCAAGCATCAGAAATGTTTAACAAAGGGACTTTTAGACTACATGGTACAAAATTGATATTTTTTAAAATCTTCCTATGTTGACTAGCAAAATTAATACACAATTAACATTTATATAAACACTGTTAAAGTAAGCTAGAGAATCGTGAACACAATTTCATTCCATGGCACAGAATCTCTCGGTAACCAAGGCGACGTATGCTTGCTTGTCAGATCATGAGCTGGCTTTGATGAACTTGTAAACCTTTTCATGGGCTCTCTTGCAGCATTCCTTGAAGTGACCTTGAAGGAAAATTAAATTCATGACAAAATCTCATTTCTCCAAATAATGTGTTAATTTATTTGCACTAGTGAATTTATTTCTTTATAACACAAGAATTACTTTAATCAGTTAATAACACTGACACATTTTGACCAGGACATTTTTATGCAAAAATCAGAAAATTACTTTCGTAATAACATCAAAATGTTATCAAATTCCTATAGGATTGAGTGAAAATATTCTTCTAGAATAATCAGCGAAATTGTATCTCTGCAACAATTTACACATGTGAATTCACCTATCACAAAAAAGGCGAAAATAACTCTGCCACAAAAATAACAAGTAGCCTTTATCATGTGCTATTACAAAGTTTTCTTATGATAAATTTGTGAAGACAGAATTAATGAAATTAATTTGAGTTGACAAGTATTTTATAAAATGACCGTGTACAAACTACATGACATGTACCTAGTGACTTCTTTCAGTAAACTTCAGTTTCGCCATTTTGAGTTACATTTTACCTAGATACAACATGTGTATTGGCTCACCTGGGAGATGGAAAAAACCATGAGTTACCCCTCTAACACAGTGCGTCTGAGACGGGATACCCGCTTTCTTCAATTTGTTATGGTATGCTTTAAACAATGAAACAATTTGATTAATTTTCATATCATGAAGCAGACACAATTAAAACAGGGGTCTTCCAGACAAAAAAAAATAAAAATAAAAGCTTTTAAAAACTTTCTCAAAAAATTCAATCTTGGATATTTTTTGTACAACTTTTTTATTAACATATATGCTCAAGCAAATAAACTCTTACCAACGCCTGCATCTTTGAGAACATCAAATTCAGCAAGGATGATCAGTGCAGGTGGCAGGCAGTTGAACTTTTCATTTAGAAGAGGCGATGCTAGAACTGATTCCTTATCAGATTCGTCTATATAGTTTTCGGAAAACCTAAAAACACAGAAATATTTTGTAACTGAACTATATACTCAGTGTTCTAATATAGGGAAAGAAACGCCTGTACAATCATTATAATTATACATTTAGGGATGATGGTCATCTTGATATAAGTACATGCATTTCTATTGTATTTGGTGTACAAAAAAAATACAAAAGAATCAACCAGTTTAAGGATCCCTGTACCACTGAACTTCACACTGCTTAACTACCTGGTTGGTTGGGTGGT